TTATTAATTCGGGGTCGCCACAGCGGAATGAACTGCCAACTTATCCAGCAAGTTTTTACACAGCGGAAAATTTTAATCCACTATATGTCTACGATAGAAAAAAATACCCACTGCTAATATTAAATCTCTGTTGTTGTTGCTGGTCCACAGGTGTGTGTAGGTCAGATGTATGAGGCCCAGAAGACGGTAGTGGAGCAGGAGAAGCAGAAGAGCTCCTGAACTGAAGCTCAACTGTTCAGACTCTTTAAACAAACATGATGAGGATGATGATGATGAAGATGATGATGATGGAGAACTGCATTCAGACCTGCAGCACAACAGACCGACCATCCAATCGTCCTGTTTACATTGTGCCACAAACTCTTTGATCACGCACTCTACTGTCCACACACAGCATACACAGTAGAAACTGTACATAGTGTTTTGTTTCTTGTCATGTGTTATTAGTGTTACAATAAAGTTCTGTCAGTTTCATGCCTTTAAATGCATTTTCTGTGGGTTGTTCTACAAATATATTGTTTATTACAGAAAGAATAAACCATTATCACCAATAAAGCCTAGAAAAACTGATGGGTTCAAATGTTCTTTAAAGATTGCTGGAAATTATGTGCCATTGACTTCCACTGTATTTTCTGTTCTGACTTTTTTGGATGACTTCTTTCAGTGACTGCCAGTTTCCAAAGTTTTTCAAAATGTCTTGTTCTTTTGTGCTCAACAGATGAGAGAAACTGAAATGTGTCTGAAACCACTTGATGGTGAGTATATGTTGAACTGGGTGAACTGTGTCTTTAAACTGATTGGTGATATGATAATACTCTACATTACACGTGATGCTGTGCAGAAATACTACCGATCTATTCCTTCATGGTTGATTTCTCAAAGGGTAAAGGTGTCTGACAAGGCCGAGCGGTTAAAAATAGCTCATTCTGTTAGTTTTTTCAGTCATCGATGGCCTAGTAAACCTGCTGACTGGTGTAAAGATCACATTTCCCAACGCCTGTCAACAGAGTGTGGAGAGCAAAGCAAACCGCTTGGTTAAAACTCATACGCTCACATGTGGCCCAGTTATAAGTCAAGGATGTCAACACAGGCGTAGGCATCTAAATCAAATGATGCACCCGCATTTACATTTATTCATGAGGTAGAGTCTGTTGACAGAGGCAACCTGAATGAATCATTGCAGTGCTAATGAGAATTACGATAAGACTGCAGGGAGTGTTTTATTCTGAGCTATGTTTTGCTCAAAGTGTTTGCCATTTATTCTGTTGTGACACTACAGCAAGAGAATTGAAAAGATTTAATGATGATCAAAATGAAAGAACATCCTACAATTTTCTAAACTTCAGTCTTATTAGCTATGTTTCCATCCAAAGATCAGATCATGGTAACGCAGCGGGTAGCACTCTCATCTCACAGCAAGAAGGTCGCTGTTTCGAGCCTCTGCTGGGTAAGTTGGCATTTCTGTGTGGAGTTTGCATGTTCTCCCCGTGTTGGCGTGGGTTTTCTCTGGGTGCTCCGGTTTCCCCCACAGTCCGAACACATGCACAAAAGGTGAATTGGGTAGGCCTAATTGACCATAATGTATGTGTGTGAATAAGTGTGTATGGATGTTTTCCAGTGATGGGTTGCAGCAGGGAGGACATCCGCTGCGTAAAACATAGGCTGGCGGTTCATTCCGCTGTGACGACCCCAGATTAATTAAGGGACTAAGCCGAAAAGAAAGTAAATGAATGAATGAATGAATCACTGAAAAAAGTGTTGCATGCAGAACTGTTGCAAACAATTTATTTGTGTTGAATTTAAACAAACAAATTAAGTTTAGTAATGTTCAACTTAATTTGTTTGCTTAAATTCAACACAAATAAATTGTTTACAACCACTTAACGTAAAAAAATTAAGTAAATCCAAGGAAACATCTTTGAATAATTTTTTTCAGTCTAGGGTCAAAACTGGAATATGACATTAAACATTTGTGTATAAAGCAGCGCAGATACCCTTACAAATGCTTTATTTGTAAATGTATTTGATAAATTTGAGAATAAAGCAGAGTCAAAGTGAACAAAATTTTGACTTGTCCTAATAAATTGGCGCCAAATATCAAAGCTTAAACCGGAAATAGTCATTTTCTGCTATAATTTATTCTATAATAAATGAGTTGCTCCTCGTTAGACGATACTTAATGAACATGCAGTGGCTTTTGGAGGCAGGGGTGCCGCTAGCCGCCACGGGCCCTCTGACAAGCAAAGGGGTGAGTGAAAGTCCGCTTAAGGTTGTGGGACGAGGGGGTGGGTCTCGGACAAAAGTGAAAAGTGCGGGTTAGGGGTTCGCAAACGAAAGTGAAAATTTAAAATTGAAGAGCGTGGGGGTTGGTGCGTGTGCTCTTGATAATGTCTCTGGGGACCCCTTAAATGTGTGGACCCTTAGAATCGTCCTAACTCCAATGGTTGCAGGTTTGAGTCCTGGCTTCAGCCCCAGTGGGCAGCGAGAGTGGTCCCCTCCACCTTCAATACCATGCCTTAGGTGATCTGAGTTGAGCAAGACACCAAACTGCTCCCCCAGGAGAGTGTTCACAGGTGTGTATGTTTGTGTGAGTTACATTGGATAAAAGTCTACTAAATGTAAATGTATCTGGTGACGGTTTTCCTAGTTATCTGGTAAACCCTGTTTGACTGGAAACCAAACTTTCCCGTTTTGTTAAGGCTTTGCAGGGTTCACCAACCCTGTTTCCCTCCATGCAGATTTCTGTTCCTGCATGATCTAACACTTCTGCATGTAATCGAGTGCTGCTTCAGGTCCTAATTAATTGGTTCAGCATTGTTTGATCCGGGTTGGAGGAGCTGAACTGTGCAGGAAGGTACTGTAGATCTCCAGAAACCACAGCTACGCCCTAAGTCACCTACTACTCAAGTGGGTACTACATTTACATTTATACATGACCTAAAAGGTATTATCTACAGTGCATCTGGAAAAAAATCCATAGCGCTTCACCTTTTCCACATTTCTTTATGTTACAGCCTTATTACAAAATGGATTAAAGTCATTTATTTCCTGAACACTCTACACACAATCCCCCTTAATGACAATGTGGAAAATCATTTCTTGAAATTGTTGCAAATTTATTCAGAATAAAACACCTGAGAAATCACAAGTACATCAGTTTTTACAGCCTTTGCTCAATACTTTGTTGATGCACCGTTGGCAGCGATTACAGCCTCAAGTCTTTTTGAATATCATGCCACAAGCTTATCTTTGGCAATTTTGGCCCATTCCTCTTTACAGTACCTCTTAAGCTATCAGTTTGGATGGGAATCGACGGTGTACAGCCATTTTCAGATCTCTCCAGAGATGTTCAATAGGATTTAGATCTGGGCTCTGGCTGGGCCACTCAAGAACATTCACCGAGTTTTTGTTGTGCCACTCCATTGAAATTTTGGCAGTGTGCTTTGGGTCATCGTCCTGCTGGAAGATGAACCCTCGCCCCAGTCTGAGGTCAAGAGCACTCTGAAGCAGGTCTTCATTTGGGATGTGTCTGTACATTGCTGCATTCATCTTTCCCTCTATCCTGACTAGACTTTCAGTTCCTGCTGCTGAAGAACATCCTCGCAGCATGATGCTGCCACCACCATGCTTCACTGTAGGGATGCTGTTAGCCTGGTGATGAGCGCTGCCTGGTTTTCTCCAAACGTAACAGCTGGCATTCACTCCAAACAGTTCAGTTTGAGTCTCATAAGAGCAGAGAATTTAGTTTCTTATGGTCTGAGAGTCCTTCAGATGCCTTTAGCTAATTCTGGGGAGTGGATTTTTTAATTTTATTAAATTTGCAACAATTTCAAAAAACTTTTTTTTCACTTTGTCATTAGGGGAATTGTGCGTTGAATGTTGAGGAAATAAATTAATTGAATCCATTTTGGAATAAGCCTGTAACATTAGAATATTTCCTAAATTATGTTAAACAGACCAAAGAACTTTTCACAGTATGTCTGATAATATTATTGCTTCTGGAGAAAGTCTTGTTTGTTTTATTTCGGCTAGTATAAAAGCAGTTTTTAAATTTTTTTTATTCTATTTTTGGGACAAAATTATTAGAATAAACATCATTATACAATTACTTGCCTAATAACCCTAACCTAGCCTAATTACCCTAACCTTGCCTAATTACCCTAACCTAGTTAAGGCCTTAAATGTCACTTTAAGCTGTATAGAAGTGTCTTGAAGAATATCTAGTCAAATATTATTTACTGTCATCATGGCACAGATAAAATAAATCAGTTGTTAGAAATGAGTTATTAAAACTATTATGCTTAGAAATGTGTAATTCAGGGTTGCTAATAATTCTGACTTGATGTTTAGAGTTTACTTAAAGTTGTGCACATTCTTCCATCAAATGTTGTGTGTTGCCCACCACATTTATAACAAAAAATCACCTGCCTGTACCTTTCCAATAACACTCAGACCCTGATTAGCTTGTTCAGGTGTGCTTGATTACTCTTCAGGAGGACTGCTACTCTGTTGTTTGGTGGTGTTTTTCCACTGAAGATTCTTCTACTTCTTTTACAGCATCATGGAGGAATTAATTTGAATGTTTATTAGAAGTTTCTTCATCAACATGTGGTTCATCCCTGCATTCATCAACTTCAACAGTCTGCCAGCAATTCCATGCAGGACAGTCGACTCTGAACACAGCAGAACAGGTAAAGCAGCTCCCTGAAGCTGGACACACTGAAATAATGAAATGTCAGAGACTAGGGATGTGCTGTCAACTCTGTACTTTATGTAATCAGCGATTACTTTACTTTTAGTTTGATGGTGTGTTTTGGTTAACAGAAAAAAACCCTGGACTTAAGCTAAATATTGTGGCAGTTTTACTTGAAGGTAAAGAAAACTATTATCCCCTAATATGTAATATTGTCCAACAACCAGTGCTTCTGTAATCAATACCAGCTCTATATTTGCTCAAGCTGTTTATTTACAAAGCAAATCAGTGTCAAAGACTTCATGTCCACTGTGTTCATTATTTTATTCTGATAATTATTTGGACTTATATCATATTGAGTGTGCATAGATCTGAAGCAAATAGAGAACAACGTGTATACAAACTTGTACCACAAAGGTTGATAGGTTATGCTGGTTATAACACTTTTCCAGAGAAAAAGCAAATGACTGCATAGAGGTAAAAGCTTTTGTCGAGCATCTTTTACTGTGCAAATCCCAGCTGCTAAATGCGATAATAAATGTTCATACATTAAACATTTGCATATTCAAACAAACATTTGCATATTGCAAAAATCAGATTGCCACTTTCCCTCAAACAGTTGCACAGACCAAACAAACCAAGAGAAAAACAGCAGCAAAACTGGACTTCAGTTAAAATCATTGATATCTTATCTCATGTGTGGACATAATATAGACATTCTATACTGTAAACACAACCTGTCGCTGACTTTTCACTAAAAATACAGTAAACATTGATTCAGTTTTGATGTTCTCTGTCACTCGTCGTGGTTATTTTATATTCAAGTTATATATTTTGACTCTTAGTTTCTTTACATTTTAAGTTCCACCAACTCTTTTAGGTCAATTTTTTTCAAAGTCAATTTTTGTAAACTGAGCAGCAAATATCAGCCTCATCTGTTGAAGAAAAACATTGATCACTGATATCCAATGATATAGTTCTGCCTCGTTTCCACAAAAGAACTGCACCGCGTCAATAATTGTGAACTCTCTCTCTCTCTCACACACACACACACACACACACACATTTCCTGGAATTAATACATGTAATTTTAGCGAACGTCACCAAAGCAATGTGTGTAATTTCCTCCATTATATGAAGTGGTTCAATTTAAAACAAAAAAGGTTTTCAGTTTTAAACCTTATGACCTTTGTCTTCTGTGGCACACAGAAAGAGATGATTCATAAAATGCCCACAATGCATTTAATAGACATATTTTTGCTTAAACAGGGAAAGCTTCATATAAGACATGAAAGCAGCATAAAGTAGTCTGTACAACATGTGCACTATATTCTAAGTCATGCAATAAATGTTGGTATAAATTTTTGTCTGAAATTCAAATCATTTACACTGGAAAAGCCACTAAAGCCCTCCACTAAAGCCATCAAATCTGACTTGCAAATATAAAATAATCCCATTTTGCTGGTTCTAATGGTTTTCCGACATGAGAATAACAGAATATAGCATACAACACATAGACCAACATTATGGTACATCCATATATTTTAGAACATTTTTAGCAACATGTTTTTTTTAGTTTCCACTGAAGAAAAAGTCAACAGCGTGTGCTGGCCAAATCATGACAAATAAATGTGATTTTCAGGTAAAAAGGTTCATTTTAAAATAGATTTTAATTCTATGACAAGCCAGTCCAGTTTATATACAGTATATACAGTATATATCCTAAAGCCTTCAGTGCTGACAAGAATACATTTGCGTATATTTTGCAATAACAGTTCTGCATGAAAGTCCAACTTTGGCCATTTGTGAGGTTCTTACATTTACCTGATTTGCATGTTCAAACCCACAATGTGTAATTAGCTTTAGTTTGTGTTTTCTCTCAAGTTTGTCTCAAGTCATAACGAGTCCCTTGTTCAAAACTGAAGTCAAATGTGAACAATGACCTAAATTTCAATCTGTTCCACACACAATTGATTCTTATGGCATTAGAATATCAAAATATAGCGAATGAGACATTTGAACCATCTCTGTGGTACTCTGGTGATGCTTTTTAGAGCTCAATCGCACTTAGAATAGCAGCTCGGCAACAAAATTTCTTTCATTATCCAAGAAAGAAAAATCAGCCTATTGGGTATAGGCTACAACATGATGGTATCAATCATTTAGAGGGGATTTTAACACTAGCACAGCTCTATTTATCCTCGCCATCTTCGTGAGAGTACATTCATGTTGTATCAAATCAGTTTTAGTCATTCGTGCTGATAAAACGCACCAATGACCACCTGCGCTGCGCGTAAAAGCGCATCATACCGCGTGGAAAGCCGCGGTCTCGCTTGGTGACGAGCTGTGGTACTTCAGGGAATAGTTCAGCCCATCGTTGTTGTCCCAAAACTCGGAGTTATCATCTTTCATGTACACGGCGAAATGCACTGAAGCGCTCGGATCCAGGAAAGGAGGCGTGTACATGGTGAAGGAGTAGCGCGTCGTGTCCTCGGTGGCCACGGGAATGGCTTGCGCGTCCACGAACGACAGCCAGTCGTTGAAAGTATACCTGACCCCAACCTCTCTGCCACCCGTCGCCCGTATGATCCCACGGACATCAAACTGCGTCACTGTGACGCTTTCCAGCGCGACGCGACCGCGCGCAAGCCGCGTCTCCTGGTCGCCCGAATCCACAGGCGTCTTGAACGTCGGGACTAGATAGTCCAGCGCCAGAGAGGACCTGATATTGACGCACAAGTCATCAATAAACTCGCGCTCCTTTTGCAGAGGGAAGCTCTTGAGTCTATTAAAGACTTTGGCTGGAATCTGAGGGTCCTCGCTGGTGCTGAAGTGCTTGACGCTCGCCAGGTTCAAGCCGAGCGCGTCCGCAAACTTCACGCGCTTCCTGCAGTTTTGGGAGATCTGGTGGTACAGGCTCGCCTGCTCTGGATACGCGGGTAATGACTTGGCTCTTCGCCTGTCTTTCAGGTACTCGGGTATCTCCTCGGGCTGAAGATCATCATCGGAGTCCAGTCCGTTCTCCATCTGCTCCGCGTTCATTATGCTCATCATTTCAGTTCTGTAATCTCCAATGACAGCGAGTGTCACTCCAGGAGAAACCCTCTGGATGAGCAGATGTGTGTGTGGACTTGTGACCCAATAACAGCTCCACATGCGCATATATCTGTGGTCTGTCCAGCAATCATTACGCGCTGGTTACGCCCACCCACTCAGGATCAAGCGTGCCTCCTGGACAGATAAATAAACATGCTTTTACACTCTGTTCTGGAGAGGAGTTAAACTTAGCAGCAAGCTTGTGACTTTTACAAAACAGTAGGCAGTACAAAAACAGGACAAATCGTATTTGTTATTGTGTTATTTTAAGTTCCCTACTGAAAAAAACCAGCTTGACCAGCCTAGCCAGGCTGGGAGCCCAGCCAAAACCAGCTATATCCAGCTTAAACCAGGCTGGTCAAGCTGGCTTTAGCTGGATTTAGCTGGTCAGGCTGGAAATAGTTGGAAACCAGCCAAATGGAAATGGCCAAAACCCCTCCAAAACCAGGCTGGTCAACCAGCTAAAACCGGCCAACCAGCCTAGGCTGGTTTAAGCTGGAATTTTCAGCAGGGTTTTAACATGTCGTAAACGTTCTAGTTAACTTTTATATTTGAATATTTGTTACTGTGCTATTTCTTACACGTTTCTTACTTTTAACGCGCCATTTGAAACGCAAATGAGAGATCTCCGCTGTCATTTGCGACTAGTTATTTTCCTTTAAAAAAACATTTTGCAGCTAATGCTGATTCATGAAGCAAACTTGTATTTCTTGTCGCGTTGGTTTGATTTATTAACAGTCAAAAACAACTTCTAGTGCGAGTTAGGTTTACTGCACATTGTTGTTCTTAGCGATTTGCATCTAAAGCAGGCGCCAATTAGTAACCGGGTGAGACTTCCGGTTCATTTGCTTTTGCAAAAACACTCAACTGTGCAGCATTATAATGCAAACTGAGCTTTGTTTACATGCTAATCTGGTTTGACAACACAGATGACAACCTAATTTGTCATCTAAATAGCTATTGCATGCACTTATACACTGACTAATGAATTGGAAGTCTCAGATAAATCCTTTGCTTATTGGGTTGCTAATTAATGTGGATAATACTGTGTACAAAGTGTTAAACCTAAATCATGCACCCTGTGAACTGCCGAGTCACCCAGTCTCACAAATAAACTGTACATTTTTAACTTTTAATGTAAGATAAAATGTGGGCATTATGGTGCTGCAGTGGGTAGCTCGATCACCTACAGCACGAAGGTCGCTGGTTCGGGTCCCGGCTGGGTCAGTTGACATTTCTGTGTGGGTTTCCTTCGGTTTCCCCCACAGTCCAAACACATGCGCTATAGGTGTGTTGAATAAACTAAATTGGCTGTAGTGTATGTGTGTGAATGCAAGAGTGTATGGGTGTTTCCCAGTGTTGGGTTGCGGCTGGCATCCACTGTGTTAAACATATGCTTGATAAGTTGGCGGTTCATTCCGCTGTGGCTACTCCTGATTAATAAAGGGACTAAGCCGAAAAGAAAATGAATGAATGAATGCTAAAATGTCTCTGGTGGAATCTCACGAAAACAACATTTCAGCCTAACATATAAATAATTGAGGCACATTTGTGGAATCACTTGTGATCATTAAGACTCTCTGCACTGTAACTGAGCTACTGTCAAAAGTTGTATGTATAAGTTATATAATGTATACGTTTTTTCAACATTACAGCATTACATACATTTGTTGATTTAAAAATAAGTGAAATTTTTAAACTCATTTCGAGAGGAGCACGTGATATAATTGACTGCAGCTGGCCGCCTATCTACACTCATTAGTTATCCAATCAGATCTATCCTAACTCACTATAAGTAGCCTAGCTAGATATTACTCTATTATCTTCGTTTTCCGAAGAAACCCCCCATCCACCCCCTTTCTCCTTCTTTTCCCCTTTACAAAAAGGGGAGTTCTTGAGAACCACCTGATCTCGTACTCCCCTCACATGCTCTATGGACCTGGCGGGAGCCCTGGGCTCAACTATCCCAGAGCTCAGGGTTCTCTCCCGGGACAGCATGCCAAACCTGCTTACAGTTGTATCTAAGTGTGAACTCTTGAAATAGATTTAAACATTTAAAGTGCATTGCTATTGGCACCTGCTTTTATGAAAAAAGATATAAGCTTTGTAAATTGCTAAGAACAGCAATGTTCAACTTTAATTGATGAAAACATTTACAATGCTGCTGTTATGCCCACTAAAGTGTCAATTAACTGCTGAAAATGAAATGACTTCAGCTTAAATTACCTGTGTTGTTCACTTTTTAATTTGGCCTGTTTTATCTGAATGTTGTGCCTCAATATAGATAACCTTAACCTCAAATTGAGACTTTTGTTTGTATTTTCCAGAACAACTAACCACAGAGTTAACATGTTTTGTGCTTTAAATGAGGAAAATAAACATGCGTTATGGATGTCACAAAAAAAGTCTGCGTGTTTACAGTATAAAACACGCTTTGTGGAAATTCTGTGAATTAAACTGCACAAACCAAAACAAACAATGATATATTTTTTACTCTTTGTTATATTGCAGCCATTCGCTAAAGTAATTTGATCATTTTTTCCTCATTAAAGTAATTAAGAAAATCACAGAACTGTTGACGGTTTTGCATTTATTAAAGAAAAACTGAAATTTCACATGGTCCTAAATCTTTGCTGTGACGCTCATATATTTAACTCGGATGCTGTCCATGTCCTCTGATCATCCTTGAGATGCTTGCACACCTTCATTTGAGTCCTGCTGCGTTTGATTATACTGATTGGACTTGATTAGAAAAGCCACACGCCTAATGGCTACAATATTACAAAGAGTGAAAAATATAAGGGGGTCTGAATATGTGTGGGTGTGTATGTATGTATGTATATATGTGCGTGTGTGTGTGTGTGTGTGTGTGTGTGTGTGTGTGTGTGTGTGTGTTTGTATGTGTGTGTTCGGAGTAGGAGCACGGTGTGGTTTATTTACCTGGGTTTGTCTGTTTACTTTTGTTCAGTGTTCCAGACTGTTTCTGTGTTGCTTTTTGACACACAGTATAAGTCAGTATTTATTATTCTTTTGTTTCTAATTATCTTTTTAAAATGGGCCTTAAATAACGTTCACTTCCAGATTACAATTTTCTGATACTTTACTTGCCTTCTCGTCATCTAAGATGTTTGTTTGTTTCTTATTTTTCCTTCAGCCAAATATAAATTAGGGTTTGTGAAGAAAACATCCAGGATTATTCTCCTTATATGGACTTCTATAGTGCTTCCAAACTGCAGCTTCAGTACAGCTTTAAATCCTCTAATGATCCCAGCAGAGGAGCACATCTTAGCAAGAGAAACATTTAGTAATTTACTTTTTATAATATGTACAGTAGTTGGCGGTTCATTTCACTGTGGTGGCCCCTGATAAATAAGAGATTAAGCCAAAGAAAAATAAAATAATATATACAGTTGAAGTCAGAATCATTAGCTCCTCTGTTAAATTTTAATTCTTTTATATTTGTTGTCACCAATTTCTGTTTAACGTAGGGTTTTTCAACACATTTTTAATCATAATAGTTTTAATAACTCATTTCTCATAACTGATTTATTTTCTCTGCCATGACAGTAAATAATATTAGACTAGACATTTTTCAAGACACTTCTAAACAGCTTAAAGTGACATTTAAAGGCTTAACTAGGTTAATTAAGGTAAAGTTAGGTTAATTAGGCAACTCATTGTATGATGAAGGTTTGTTCTGTAGACCAGGGGTTCCCAAACTTTTCAGCCCGCAACCCCGAAATTAACAATGCCATTGACTCGCGATCCCCAATATCCTCTGAGGTGGTTATAAATAGAAATAGACCCAAGTCTGTTCTACGTTTAATTTTTATAATGTATGTCAGTGCTGTAAATGTGCCAGAAAGTTTAACCTGGTGTTATAAAATCAATCTGCTGCATCTGATGCTATTGCTGTGTCTTTAATATAATATAATTACCCCAGGGGTCGCAATCCAATAGTATAACTATAAGCTATAGTTAACTATATAGTATAAATTAACTATAAACGACCATTTTATTCTCTTCAGTAGGTTATGGAAAAAATATTGTAATAATAAAAATAAATACATTTTATGGTTATGGTTCAATAAAAATAAATAGATTTTTGGAAATCACCAGGCGACCCCCCCCCCCCTCTTCATTGTCCCGCAACTCCTCGAGGGGTCCCGTCTCCCACTGTGAGAACCACTGCTGTAGAAAATCGAAAGTAAGTATTGCTTAATGATATTGACCTTTAAAATGTTTTTAAAAAAATTAAGAACTGCTTTTATTCTAGTCGAAACAAAACAATTAAGACTTTCTCCAGAAGAAAAAATATTATAGGAAATACTGTGACAATTTCATTGCTCTGTTAAACATCATTTGGGAAATATTTGAAAAAAATGAAAAATCATAGGAGGGTAAATCATTTAGATTTCAGCTGTAAATAGTAAAGTTTTTTCCGTTTTTGTGTGAACTGCCCCTTTAAGAGTGCAGGGTCTGTAAATGTGGATCAGGCTTCAGTGCAGAAACTCTCCATGCGTGTCGGTCAGCACATCTTCTGGCTGCAGTCCCAGCTGATGTCCACAGGTCAGCGAGATCCTCAAAACATGCTGTTATCATCAGACAAACAAACACTGCAAACCTCCAGCGATATTACAACAGCATTAATGTCCAGCTTCAACACCACTAGATACATACACTTGACCTGAACTGATTTTATTTACGTTACATTTTAATTGATTAGCTGTAACAAGTTAAAAATCAGCTTGAATGTGTTTGGTTTGATGCTTTTAGTTAATGCATGAAATGAGATTGCCCATGATAACGTATAATATTTAGAATAGATGCTATAGTTGTTTTAATATGAGAATATATAATGGCTCTACAGTGTAAAATATATTAGAAGTACTTGATAAGGACTTAGAAACAAAGGCTTTCTAGGAATGTTGCAGTAGCTCTAATTCACCAGCAGATGTCAGTTTTGTAAAAATTTTTTACTATCAAGGCCAAGCTAAAATATTAAATTTGTGAAGTCAATTAAAAAGCTAATTAATAAACTAGTGTTTTCTACAGTGCATTTTTCTTCAAAATAGCTTTCAATTTTGTGCATTTGTTTTGTTGTTGCTATTGTCATAAACGTCTCAAGGTGTTTTTAGTGCAGTTATAAAGGAAAGTAAAAGTGACAAAAAAAAAAAAGTGTCATCATATTTTCATTCATTCATTCATTTTCTTTTCAGCTCAGTGCCTTTTTTATAATCTGAGGTCACCACAGTAGAATGAAGCGCCAACTTATCCAGCGGTTTTATGCAGCGGATGCCCTTCCAGCTGCTACCCATCACTGAGAAACTATCACAGTAAGTTGTTTTTTATAATAATAATAATAGTAATAATAATAATAATAATAATGGTAAATTTAATTCGATGCACCTTTAAAACCTCTTAAGGTCACCATACATAAACAATTAAAAAAATACAATAAACATAAACGATAAATAAACCATAAACCATTTATGCTTTAAAGCTTTTTTTTAACTGGGCTACATGGGTCCCTACAGGGCCACATGGGGTCCTTGTAAATAAAAAAATAAAAAAACATTTAAAACCAGCATAAAAATTGTTATTTAAATAAAAGATAATTAATAAATAATTTAACTAGTAAAATATTCAAGTATTTCAATAAATATGTCCTTGAGATAAATAAATGCATTTAATAAAATTTTATATAAATAGCATAATGTACTACTACAACTCATACTAATAATAATAATTTTTATTATATTTATTAATAAATAAATACAAAGTTAAAGTAAAACACAATTCACAAAATAATATAGACTAAAATTATTAAATAAAAAAATATATGAAAAAACAAATGAAGTAAATAAATAAATAGTCCACATCACAATAATGACAACAATGTCACAGAGCTGGAATCACGTTGTTGTTGGTTTATTATTAGCTGATAAATTATTAAAACTCAGAATTTAGGCCAGCCTTTAAAATGGAAAAATGACAAAACTTGAGCATAAATGTATGATAATCCAAATAATTTCATCCTACAGATCTTTAGTTATGACTACTGGAAACTGTTTTAGTTTTCTTTCTCTGATTTTATTCAAATGAATGGCTGGTGATTGGATGGATATCGGCCTGATTGGGTAGCGTTACTTGGACAGAGGAAAATTAAGACCCGTTTATAATTTAAGACATTTTAAAGGGGTGATCCACTAGTACTACAATACAATATTTAACTTTAGTTGGTGTGTAATCAACATAAACAACATCTCTGAATGTAAGATACTCAAAGTTTAATGCAAAGTGAGACATTGGCTTTTACAGAGTTGGCTTAGCAAAGCCCACAGCGAACAAAATTTGGGGACTACAAAAAAATACATCCAGGCTAGTGAGATCACAAGGGCTTCAGATTACGTGCATACACCCTTTGCAGTAAAGGAGCGTGGCCAGAGGCGCTGTAATGTTATAGCAGAGAAAGCTAAAACGCCATCCAAACGCTGCTATTTCCACAGAGCTTCATCTGTTTCTGTATTTTTGCTTCCAAAGGACATGACACAAAGAGAGAAGTGCTTACAGTTTAATTATATTCCGGAGTATTATATAAATATATAAAGCATTTGACAAAAGAGAACTTCGGCTAAACTCCTTCAACCGACGAACTATTTTAATTTGTTAAAATTGATCAATTACATGCAAAGTTTCTAGCGTTAACGGTAAGCTGTAGCAAAGACGTAAACAAGGATGTAAACAACCGGAAATGCTGTTTGGCACTGCTAACAATGTAGCTGAAATTCATATTTATCAGTCAAACCGCTGTAAACAGCCCCAATCTTCATCAGCGCTCCAGTGTCTCTCTGTGCGGATGCTTTCCCTGTGTTCTACATCTCAAATAGCGAACAATAACACATAATGGTGATGTGGAGCTGATCCACGAATCACAGTAAATTATGTTAGCTGACCAATCAGAGCCTCTTGAGGGTGGGCCTTTTTGGGGGAACTAGGAAATATGACAGTCGTTTTCATGTTAGCTGAGTAGCTAATCAAAGTAAGATATATGAAAAAATAACATCATTTTCTACAAGTAAAGCATGAGCACACACTGCTTTGCATCTTATAAACACAACCAAGCCTTAAAAATACACTGTGGACCACAACTTTAAGACCCCTTGGACACAGTGAAACCCTTATAGTTACCCTAGATAACCAGAGCTGTGATAAGACCACATTTAAAGCACTTGATCTGTAAAAGAAAGCAATTCCAAGTGGTTACATTATAGAAATGAGTTAACAGAAAGCCACATAATCAGTTTCCTTGTTTATTGGGACACAATAAAGCTGAATGATTTGTGTTATTTGTCTTATGGTGATAGCAGCAATGAAGTTATACTGCAAACATCTTTGTTAGGGAAAGATGCTTGTATTTTAGATTATATACACAAGTACATTACATTACATTCAGTTTTGTTGGAAAAAAAGAGGAATGTTTAAGCACCATTCGTGGTGGTACACTGATGCATTTATGTGGCACATCGATGTGTAACCGGCAGGAAAAAAAATACAATTATTAAAGTGTTACTATTACAGATAATGGAGAATTCTAGATGATTGTCTGTGTGGTTGTAGAAGAAATTAAGCACATATAATGACATCTTTTGGTTAGGTTGTGTGTACAATCATAATGTGAACATTCTGTCATATTTCAGCTGAAAATCTTTTTGTTTTTGCATTGCAACATTATTTTCATGACAAATGAAAGTGAAAATGATGCAAAATAAGGGCTTGTGTGGTTAAATGTCATGAAAAAAAAATGTCAAAATGTAAATAAAAATGATAATCCTAAAGTAATATTGCATAATCTGAAGTGAATCTGTCATAATGGACAAATGGTTTTGTCAATAAACAGTAGCATTTGGCATATTATACATTACATTTCAGAGAGATAAGCATTAGTAATTTCTCTCATGTCTGAGTAAGAGCAACGATCAACTGAAAATTGATTTCTTTGATGTTGCGTTTGCATATGTGAGACTATTCAGCATTGATATTTTAACCGGATAAACAGTAAACATACAGTACTACATCATCAGAAAAACAATCAGATAAATCAGAACTTCATCTTTAGTACACATATTTATAATGCTTTAAACAGTCGTGTATCATAAAAAAATTTGTTATGACAAACAGCCAAACTAACACAAAAGTTGCCTTCATTAGTAGATCTTTACGGTAATGGCGAAACCTGAAATGGATTATGGGTAATGTAGTTCAGCTTGCAGAAGTAGTTCATGCCTCCTCTGCAGTGTAAATGCGGTACATCAAGGTGACGATTACAGCAGCCACCGCAGGTATCAACCAGTTTGACCACCAGCTGAAACAAGAAACCACAGGCAAGCGACAGAACAAAGCGTTTAGCAATTAGCTTGAATTATTAATTAGACACTTGCCTCAGAAACACAATGGAAAGTTCGAAATGAAAACAAGGGGAACTCGTTTGATGAAGAAAATGGTGTTGGATTTCTTATAGGTACAATTGAAGTCAGAATTATGAATATGATCCATGTAAAATTTGCATTACTTTTCAAATATTTCTCAAGTGATGTTGAACAGAGCAAGGACTATTTTCACAGTATTTTCTTCAATCAGGGTTTCTGCAGGATTCAAAAAGTCAAATTTAGGACTTCAAGACGCTTTTAAGACCATTATGAATAAATTGTAAAGTATACAGGGCTAAACACTAAGGATTTATTATAATGGCCCAACTTGGGGTAATGGAATTCATTTTGCTTGCCACAAAAATTTTTTTTATTTCTTAACAACATATTTTATTGTCAAAAAAAGAAACTAGTTGTATACACTTCTTTTTCAGCAATGTTTCTTTTTTTTGATGACAAGCTTAACATTGTGTAAAGTATTATTATTATTACTATTTCTGTTTTTTTTTTTACAAAGACCATGCAGTTTAACATTGTCTCAGTTTAAAGCAGACGATGCTCCACATAGGAATGGGACGATAATCGTTTTCAAGGTATACAGTGGTCAAGGTTTTAAAACTGGCACAATTTTCTGTAATACTGTTCCTAAGGTATGTGTAAAATTTTCTATTTACATTTTTTAATTTGTATTTTAAGACAACAGTATCTCCAGCCAAAAAAAAAATATCCAAAGATGCCGTTTTAAATATAATTGAATTGAATTAGTTAGCCTGACATGTTTACTGTTCCAAACTATTATAAATCTTTCAAAAAATGAAATATATTGTGTTCAATAGGAGGGGAAAAAAGTGTTTGTTTTTTACCCAGACATTTAAAAGGAATATATTTTAGAACAGTAATTACAATACCGTGATATTTTATCCAAGGTTATCATACCGTCAGAATCTTATACCAGCACATGCCTACCGCCACATATAGCCTCCTAGCCAATAGGTAATTTGCAGCCATAGTCACTGGTTTGGCTTTTAATACAATAAAACTGTACAAATATCTTTATCATATACATATAAAAAAATACATTACCAAAAAAAAAAAAAAAAAACAGTAAAATAATATAAAAAGCAAAACTGCATGACAATCAGCTTTCACAAACCTGATTTAGTTTCAACCACTTTACTTTTTTTTTACACTCTTTTTATTTTATTTATTAAAAAAATTACATGAATAATCAAAAATATATATTTGTTGGCTTTTTGTCCAAAAGGATTGAGAATAACTCCTGCTCAACCTTAAAAGTGTCATGCCGATTTATAAATATTATGTCCACTCCACCTTACTTCTGTAAATAGGTTTAGTATAAATGGATGATCATGTAAATTATGTACTGCTCTGTTGTCATCATAAGAACTTGTGTAATGCGATTTTAGTTTTCTTTTCCTGATTACAGAATTTAATTTAGAGAATTTGCAATAAAAATGTCTAACCACTGCTGTAAATTGCATCTCTTTGCAATACATAAATGTAAATATATACATACATTTTTATTTAGATGGATTGTTGGTGTATCAATGGGTGTCGACCTGATCGGGTAGCTTTACTTGGAAAGTTTAAAATAATAATAATAATAAGGCCTAAAACACAATATTTCCGTGAATTTAATACTTTTTAAGGCCTACAATTTTGTTTTTGAATTTTAAGACATTTTAAGACCCCACTGACACCCTGTATAATATAGCTTTTCTTTTAGAGAAGTGTTATTTCTTTTAGTTTGTCTAGAATGAAAGCAGTTTATATATATATATACACACACACACACATATATATATATAGTTTAAGGTCAATGTTTTTTTTCTTGTCTACAGAACAAACCACTGTTGTCCAATAACTTACCTAATTGTCTTAACTTGCCTAATTACCCTAGTTACGTCTTTAAATGTCACTTTAAGCTGAATACTAATATCTTCTAAAATAAATAATAAACTATTAAGTACTGTCATCAAAGCAAAGACAAAATAAATTAGTTATAAAAAACTAGTTAATAAAAATATAATATTTAAAAATGTGTTAAAAATCTCTCTATTGAACAGCACTTAGGAATTTTTTTTTTTAAGTATTTAAATTTCGCAAGAGGGGTAATAATATTTGACTTCAACTGTACCTGAAAACCTTGTCTGCAATAATAGCTTATTACATTTTGCCATAAATATGAGCTTACCTTGTTGTTTCCTGTACTGTTGTTACAAGGGATTCCTGTTGAGCAGAAAAGCAAATGCAAGTTTAGATGGAATCAAATGTTGAATAGAAGTATGGACAAAGATTGTTTGAGAAATGATTTACATACTGGTGGTTTGGCAATCTTGTCTCTGTCATCCTGAGAAAAAGACAAATGAGGAGAGGTGTGAATAAACATTATAAAGCTCTTTAATTTTTCACATTTGGTTGTTGAAAGCATAATTAAGTAGTATTTCTTATAGAGCACACTAGTGTTTTTGTCTCATTGAGATAGCATTATAATTGTCATTGTTATTTTTTCCATTTTCAAATTCATTTAAAAAGTTTAGTTGTTAGGCTTTCTAATTATTTTGTAATTATTAATGTAGTATATATTTCTATTGTCTTTGTAAATATTTACATTGTTTTCTGTAAAGTTAGTTATCAAATAACGCTACTGCTTTTGTTTAAGCTGTGAAATATTATGATTGACAAAATATATACATTTTAATTAAATAAAAAAATTCATGCAAAAAGCAGCAAAAAAAGTTTTTAGTTCAGGAATAGTCTAAAAACCAAAAATAAAAAAACAACATTTTACAATGTAATTTAATTCTATCAGCTCAAAGCAGATTATTCTGTATAATTACTCCAGCCTTCGGTCTCCCGTGATCCTCAATAAAATTTGATCATTTGATGCTCAAAAAACACATTTGTGATTTCTTTCTTTGTTTCTTTTTCTTTTTTTTTTTTGATGACTAGAAATTGCATGATAAAAAATACAAAACAACTGGTTATCTATATACTTTAACACATATTCGAGATTATTATTATTATTTATATGTAATATTCATTCATTGTTATATTTTTTAAAACTGTACATGTCTGTACTTATGTTTAATTGTGCATTTTCTGCTCTGTATATATTATGCTGCTTAAAATGCACAAATTTATTAAAATGTTTTCTAAGTTCAGTTCTGAAAGCAGCACAACCTGCTCCACTCCTGTCTGACAGTGAATCCTGCAGCAGTACAGCCCCTCCAGGAGGAATAAAAATGGATTCCAGGTTATTGATAGTATCTAAAGCCGCTGTAGGTCTCAGAAAACATCTCAGATTTCATGATATGGCTGCTAACAAACATGTCTGATGCTGTGCATGATGGGCAAAAATCCTTTTTTTAGATCATCCCAAGCAGATTTATCAAAAGTATGGGACAGTTTTCGTTATTTTGGGTGGACTACTAACCACATAGGTTAACAATGGAATCCGCTGGTGTGGTGATGATGACCCCCAAAATGAGACTATAAATCACCAGCGAGTTAATGACTTTTCATGCCAGGGATGACTGACAATGACTTATTTGATTTTAAATTAGCAAAAGATTTCCTGCTGACAAAATGGGTGGTTTGAAGAATAGTATTAAACTCAAGTATTTGAAACTAAAATTAACATTTTATCAAATGTTACTCTTCTGAATATGCCGGACTGATTTTAGCTATACAAATTATTGGTAAATTGAATAATATTTTAGTGGGGCATCTTCTGTAAATGACAATACAAAAGTTACGATTTGCTTAATATGCATTTTCAAAATGTTTTTTTTTCTACTTAAAATTGTGTTAGTTAAAGATATTCATAATGAGACATTAATCTTTTAGTATGTTTCATTTTTAACTTTTAGAAAGAGCAATATTTTGGTATTTTTTGCTGTTTATAAATTTATTGCTTTTTTTGTATTTTTATTATTTTTATTTATTTATTTATTTATTTATTATTTCCTAGTTTTTTTATTCCCTATTTTCATTATATAAGTTTAATTTTGTTTGTGTTTTTAACATTTACCTGAATATCTTTTATTGGTAATTCTACATCAATGTATCAAAGTATGTCAGGCTACCTAAAATATACCTAAAATAAAATATGTTTCACATGTTTATATTGATGGCTTTAGTTAAAGTTAACCCTAATGAGACATTAATATTTAAGTAGTTTTTTTATCTTATAGAAATAGCAATATTTTGCTATGTGCGGTATTGTATTTTTCTAAAAAAAAAATAATAATAATAAAAAAAATTAAAATAAAAAATGTTTTCACTGATTAACAATACTACTGTGTTCTGGTCATCTTACTGGGTGCACTTCTCCTATGAGCATAGAACTGGCCATCTCGCGTGCATCTGTCGAGTGTCCGACATCCTCAAAACTCTCGGTGGCATCTCCACCCGCCTGCTCCCGCAGCACCTCCTCTCCCCCTGGGTGCTGTGAACACCAGAGCAAACGTCACATCACATCATCATCTTAATCAATCTCAGAAACTAATCTGTGCTTATTTATAACTCTGATTGCTCTTTGAAAATAGTTGCCTAGGAAATTATCAGCTCATATGTTTGTGTTATCAGTGTACTGAGTCATGCATGACTAAAATATCTCAGCATTTTTAGACCCAGCAAGATTAAAATAACTTGTTAATGTAAAGTTGGCTTTATATTCAAACATTCAGACTTTCTCCTTAATGATATAATTTAAGAAAAGTATTCATTGCTAATTCTAAGCACTGAAATTGTACAACATTGTTTAGCTAATTACACATTGCTAACGTTGTTCTGAAGTCATGAATGTTATTTCAGTCTGAATATTTAAAGTACCATGGTAAACAGTATAGTAAGCTGTCACTGAACGAATGTGTGAATATAAACCAACTTTACCTCAATAAATAACTGGACTAGTTAGTTCTCTAGATCTAGATAATATGGAAAGAGTTGAAATGATGGTTATCTGCTGAACTGCTGCAGCAAGATAGTGTGTGATGCAACTGAAGCTTCCCTATACATAAAACACAAAATTAACCGTTTATGATTTTATACTTGTATTTTGGCATGGTTGCTGCCAATTTCACATTGGTTTGCAGCTTTTTAAGCATTACTTAACGTCGAATCTCAAGTCCACCTTAAGGGCACACTAAGCAAAGGTCAATCCATTTAATTCTCGCTAACCTTTGAACTTTGGAGTTTTTCAATGCATTAAATTATAACTATGTGCATTAAATTAAACGAGTTTGTAACAATGCATTAACAGTTACATAATACCGATTCAACTGTTGTTTACACAATGAAACACATACACGTAATGCAGCCCTTACACAATACCAAAATGAAAATGTTAGCAGCAAATCTGAAAATGTATGTCTGTTTTAAAAACTCACCTCCTCGAGAAACTTTGTGACGTCGTACACTTTATTATGAATTATTATCCATGTGCTTTTAAAAGAGTTCCGTTCTTCTACCTCTGACAAACGATAATATTTTACACCCTTTCCGTCTGTACCGTTGTTTGCCATTGGTTTGATTAAATGTGTTTTTTGTTCGAATGGTTACAGAAGATCTCCAAAGTTCCCTGCGAATCGATCCCTTCTCGTAACTTACTTACAAACTGGACCTTCCTTCAATTGTATTTCCCAACTGGCCGGGCAACGCCCATTCCGCTCTAAGCGAGGTGTGATTGGACGGCGTCATGCTTGAGTCGCCCAGCGTGTCTGTTTTGATTGGACGGAAGGATGTCAATCATGTCATTGGGCCATGGGTTTTGCCGAAGCCCACGAAGAAGTTCACGAAAGTTCACAGGAGTGCAGTTCTCACGCAATACGGAAGCGTCGCCGTTTATCACCATTCCAGTTATATCCGTTAGTCACTATTATTTTAATTGCCCTAAAGTCGTTGTTTGTTGCTTTTGTTTAACACTTTCTGTCAGATAAGCGTGTTTTAACTTTAAACACCGTCACTCAAGCTTTCCCTCAAGCTTGCCGCGCTTTTCTTTTAACGTTACGTTAACGTTACCTCAGAATTTAAATAAAGTCAAACTGAGGTAAATCTTTCTTTCTTTTTTTCTTTCTTTCTTTCTTTCTTTCTTTCTTTCTTTCTTTCTTTCTTTCTTTCTTTCTTTCTTTCTTTCTTTCTTTCTTTCTATCTTTCTTTCTTTCTTTCTTTACATTTTTGTTAGCTTTGTAGATGAATTTTTATGTTGTATTATTTGTATTTAAGTTACGTTTAGTTAATACTTATATTAATATATCAAGTTATCAAGTAAGTTATGTCAGGAAATAAATTACTTTCTTTTTTTTCTTTCTTTCAGATAATATGCCAACATATTTTACTTCTAAGTATCGTCTAAAATAATTAATAATGACAGAATCTGAGCATGTCTATTATCATTTTATATTTGGACCAAAATAGTCTCTAATTAAACAATAATAGTTCACTGTGGTCACAGATCAATGACTGCAAATTAACCCTGAGTTTTTCCCTTTCAGAATGAGTGGAAGTGGGGCACAGTCTTTGTTCAGCCTCGATCTTCCGGACCTGAGGAATTTATGTTGTGTAAATCTGTTCTTCCCAAATAGTCATGATGAAGGAGAGCTGAGAAACAAACAAGTGAAAACCTGCAGGTGATAAGAGAAATATGATGATATTAAATATTACATCTGTTAAGGAGTGTAGCCTACGGTTTAAAGATTCCTCATCTACATGTAAATTGTTATATTTTTATCTTTAAGTTGTGATTAAATGTTCAAATTGCTTTTATGTATTGTTGTTAGACTCTCATATTTTCAGACTTTAAAATGTATAGCTGGTAAAGTTAATAAATTATCATACTTACTTAATCACAATTTGGTATTTTCTTGACATTTTACTCTTTAAACCCCCTAACACACAAACTCCATACCTCCTATGATAATATTTTGGTTATATTAGGTTTTACACTTGGTCACAATAGCAACATGTGGAAAACAGTCAGAATTGCATTAAAATTCCATTGTTTTCAATCAAGTAAATTTTATACCAGTCACAATTGTGATGTTTAGCATATTTCCAGTATGAATGTAAAAACTGATCTGGTCATGTGACAAGAAGTGTGACAGCATATAATGCACTAAAGACACATGGATTCTGTCTTTTTAAGAGCCGGTGAACTGAATGATCCACATGGTTTGTTTTCTGTGATCCGCATCAGTCACAGTTATTACACATTTACACCCACTGACTTAAACTGACACCCACTGAAAGTTACTTTCTTTTTATCTTTCAGGGAGCTGATTCTCATGCAGTCAGACATTGTTGCCTCACCTGTGTTGGGCCATTATGGGGGCATTTCTGTTATAATGACTGTAAGTATATAGAGTATTCCTTTCAATACTTATTTGTTTATTGTAGTAAATATAATACAAAAAGGTAGACTATATTATTCAAAATGTAAGTTTAAAAAATAATTTTAAAGTTTTTTTTTATTCATTAAAATGTTCAGCCAGTTTTTAGTGATCTTGCAATAATGTCAAAAGCACAGTACTTTCAGTTCTTATATATGTAAAAAGGCCTAAATACATGCAAGACCATTCCAATATTTTGCTGTCCAACTAGCATGTCTGGTTCCTCTTCGTGTAAACTCGTAAACAAACATCTGCGATCGGTTCATCAGATTGGCAAGTACCAATCAGATCATTAAATGCGATTATCAGTCGATACCCATCTCCGGCCAATCGATCAGAGCATCCCTAATATATACCAATACCACCTCCACCTTTTGACAAAAATCATCCAGGCAATTACTATTATAGACAGACAGACAGACCGTCATACAGACAGACAGATTAGTTCCTATAACCTACTTTCTGCCTGAAACGCAAGAACAGGCTTCCCAACTTCTGTGACACACTTAAAATTTATAGTTTGTAATGTATTACTTCTATGCACTGGGATGAAGCAGAACATGATATCACAAGATATATAACAGCTTATATATAACAACTTAGCTAATTAAAAATACCCCTACATACAGGTGAAGACATAATTATTCTATTATTATTGTAGATCAACTCTGAGAGCTCTCTCATTCCCTATAGACAGCACGGGATTAGAGATGTTCCAGTCCAGAAAGGAACCTAAAGCATGGTCAAAACATACCGTGTGACTTCAGTGGTTCAACTGTGATCATAAGAAGCCTCCAAAACACTTGTGGGCCAAAAAAATCTAATGATATAAGTTTGTTAGCATAAATCTTTTCTTCCCATCAGATCAGGGTGTGGGACGACACGATGGCTCAGTGGTTAGCTCTGTTCCCTCAAAGCTAGAAGGTGGCTGGTTCGAGCCCAGGCTGGGTCAGTTTGCATTTCTGTGTGGAGTTTGCATGTTCTTCCTGTGTTGGCGTGGGTTTCCTCCAGGTGCTCCAGTTTGCTCAACAGTCCAAATGGTATAGGTGAATTTAAGAAACTAAATTGGCCGTAGTGTATGTGTGTCAATGAGTGTGTATGGATGTTTCCCAGTACTGGGTTGGAGCAGGAAGGGCGCCCGCTGTGTAAAACATATGCTGCACAAGTTGGCAGTTCATTTCACTGTGAGGACCCCTGAAGAATAAAGCGACTAAGCCAAAAGAAAGTAAATGAATGAGATCAGGGTGCACAATGTATTGCTATTAGAGCAGTGCAACAAGCAGCATTGTAATGCCCATAGTAAATGTGCATCCTTGGTCTGATGCTGGAGTTTTTCGGTGCACCAAATTGTTCTTGGAGCTTTAAGAGTTTAACCACTGGACCACACATGGACTGTTTTGACAATGTTTTTGGTTCCTTTTTTGGACATTGAACATCTCCCTTGCTGTTTATGGAGGGTGAGAGAGCTCTCAGACATCATCTGAAATATGTTAATTTGTGTTTTGAAGATGAACAATAGTCTCAGGGTGTTGAAATGATATGAGGGAAAGTAATAAATGACAGGATTTAAATGTTTGGGTGAACTAACCCTTTAGTCATTAGTGGAAAATTTTATCAAATCAAACTGCATGTAGCATGTTTGCAATAAATTGCAATGTGATTGACTTTAATGATGATTTGAATTAATGCCAAAATGTATTTAAAAATCTTCCTTGACAGATGGATCTTTTGATTTATACCTCATATCCTGTCATTACTTCATACTTCTTACTTATTCAATATCCCTCCCTGTTCGTGATAATGTTCATTACCTTGCGTGCATTTGCACCAGTCAGTGAGGTTTGTGTTGTTGCATATGCGTGACTTTTTCATTTGTGGCTGCACGTATGTGTGTGCGTGTCGGCACTGCTCCTGCTAAGGCACATCTCGTGCGAAGCAAAATATTTGAGGCACATTCCACACACACACACACACTCTGTCATCTCCTTTCCTGTGCTGAACTAAAGCCAATTAAATCAGCACTTCACACAGTGTGTCAAAAGCAGCTAACAAGATGTCCATGATAACCCTGTGCCTGTGATTTGATTTTTTACAAATGTTGTGAATGTGTTGTCAGACTTTCAGTGGGCACACTGGTGAATAATTGACCATGTTGTGCTTATATAACTTCCATGGCTTTTGTACTAGCCAAAAGAGAAAAAGCAGCATGAACTTCATTGAAAAGCCGAATGTTCTGAATGAACTTCTTCTTTCAAGTTCATGATCACTAACATTGTGCCTTGTCTGATGTAGCGTGAATGTCATATTTTTTTCTGTCCTCACTCTTTTTTTTCACTGTACTTTTATCTTAGACTGCACTTCACAAGACAGGTTTCATCCAGGCCTTTGCAGAGAAACATGGTCTACAGGTCAGTTTATAAAGTTGCTTCTGTCAATATAGTATAATATAGACAACAACATATTTCATATCAAATAAGGATTAGCTCAAAAGTAATCCAAATGCAATCCAAAAGTAGTATAAAAACATTACCACATATATATATATATATATATATATTTGCTTGATCAAACCACTTAATTAAAATGAGCTGAAACAACACAATTATTGATATTTCATTGGGACAACTTTATTTTTCATGTTTAATCCAAATAAATTTGTTAAAAGTGGTAAAATAACTTAAACGATTTGTGTTGGGTCAACATGAATTAATTGTGTGGAACCCTACATTTTTTACAATGTATGTGTATTTTAAGAAATTATATTACTACAATAATCAAACACATTTTCCAGTAGTGTGTGAAGTAATGCAGCCTTTATTTTAGTCTCATAATTTTTTTTTTTTTGCCCCTTAGTTGTGCCCTCCTCAGAGAGTATTTCCTGCCATTCTGCAGAACTGTTTGTCTTACACTGTGACGACTAAACTGGCCCCTAAATGGAACAAAGCTGGCCAATATCTTATAGCAGGTGAGAATCCAAACCTAAAGGGGTCCTATTATGCAAAAAACTTTTATACTTTCATATGTGGCAGCCTCTAATGGTAAAAAATAATTATAATCACACTTGATAAAAACAGTCTGCAGAAATTCTTTTGACATTCGCCTTTTGTACGTGTTATCAGACGAGGAAACCCCGCCTATTAGTGACCATCTCTCCCATATTACCATAGACAGCCCCTGAGTGAGAAGCAGCCGTCAGCTATTAGAGTTTTGAATCTGCTGCGTAGCTCCACCCTCTTTTGAAAAGATCACAATCTCATTTAAATTTAAAGAGACAGTCACTAAAATGGCACAATTTGGATCAAAGACTAAATGCGGCAGTTTCAAAGAATTGTAAAGCATTATTTGTGTTGTATTTTGAGCTGCAATTTCACATACACACTCATCAGAGACGTTTACTTCTTGTACAAAAGGAGCATAATTGTCCATTTTAACTAAAATGCCTAAAACATTTCAATGTGATTGTAGTAGTTTGAGCAATTTTATGCAAATGTCAAGTTTTCACAAAAATAGAGAAACCATTTCTACATTTTTTGTGCGTAAGCAAGTATTTTAAAGTACTTTAAAATGCTAAATAATGTCTCTGTCTGTGTTTTCAAACTCTTACTGTATATTTGATTTACCAAAGTCACACAAGTGGCAATTTCACATCTGTAACATCCATAACAGAAAAGTGTCACATCCATAACGAAGCTTTCCCCTCTTGTCAGCTAAATTAAAATCAATCATTTTTGTTTTATAGAGAGCCGGCTCTTATCCTTTCGTTAACATTATTTCTTTTGGGTTGTGCAGTTTGATTCACATAATTTCTACAAAGTATGTTGTCTACTGTAAACTTGCAGACAATTTTGGTCACCCATAACACATGTTTATTTTCTTCATTTAAAACATAAAAAATGTTTACTGATTGATATTTTTCTGATCCCATAACTCTGTGGTTAGGTGCTTTGAAAAATATTAACAGTTGTTTCAATATAATGTTAATATACACTTTCTCTGTGAATTTATGTTTTGAATTTTTATTGCAAATGTTACATTCATAATGCTGGAATTGCTTGTTTACAAAATTTACAAGCTGAATTTAACCTGTGTGGATTCATTTGACACCGGTAATAAAATATACCATTACAGCTTACTCAACTAATAATGATTCTGCACATTAAAGACAAGACAGTCATTTAGTAGTGTAGGGTAAAGTGAGGGTAAAGTACACTCTGGGACTGATTTGGCTGCTTTGTAATCTTAACTCACCTTCAGCCTTATTTCTAGTGTAAGCATGATAATTTATGCTGTCTAATAGACTGAGTGATCTCATTAACTGAGCTAATATTTTTATTTCCTCGACTCAAGGTGAGCATGTGGAAGTGTAGGTCAGTTCAACTAATAGCTGAAATATTTTAGCATTAAAGTTGTATCTAATTACCACTGTGCCAGGTCAATACATCATAATTAAATTGGTGATATTTAATCTGGGAAGTATGTGTGATGCTTCTAATCAAGAGTCAGTTAGCATGGCATTCACTCATTTCTCATCCAATAATTAGTTTGTATTAATTATTTCATTTATAAGGTTATACCACGTCTTTACTCTACATTTTCAGGTTAACACTGATAGATGTTTATACCAGCATGTTCCTGCTATGAGCTGCTCACTTTCTGTCACTAAAGATTTGTCAAATTACATTCATTCAAAGATGACAGAAAATTGACTTGTGGTTTCTGTCTTGCAGCAAAACACTAGGATGGTTGCATTTTAGACAATACAGGGAATGGCAAATGAGTGTCATAAGTCCTGAATGCCAGAGTTGGGTTGTAATGGATTATTTGTACTCTGGATTATGTACTCAGATGCAAAAATCAAGTACTTCTTATTAGAGTAAACAACTTCTTAAAAATACTCATAATCAGACTTCATTTACTTTACACTTTATGCTGTCTTCAAAGTCCTCGTATTAAATGCATTGGGATAAATGTAGATGTAGCCTGAGTTAAAATCTGTCCACGATAAAATAATTAGGCAGTTTGATGGCCTTGTGTTGAAGGCTGTGCCTTGAAAATGTGTGTGATGCTGTCCTTGAGCAGTTATTGGTGGCTTACACTAAAGTCTTTCTAAAAGCAAAGCAGAGAGAATGCACTATAATTAAATCTTTGTTTATGATTATGCATGGGTTTTAAAACACATCTTCAAAAATGCTAGTTTTTAATGGATTACATGGTCATCTCAATGCGGTTAGTTACATAAATAATAGTGACTTTTTTTCTATTTTCCCAGGAAAAGATTTCCTCAGTGACACTGGAAAACTGAATGCAGTTGGTAAGTGGGAGGCGCCTGTATACTTTGGCATGTGATCCTGCCATTTGTGTTTACATTGTGTTTTTTTTTCTTAATTGATAGCAGGGAGTGACCAAGGTGGTTGAGAAACTATGACTGAAAAAATGTGTAGTATTGTTTTGCTATTCTAACTGTTGGTTCTGAATAATGTACTCCTTAAACTTTATCCCACATTCGTTTGTGCTTTTCTGAGTCATGCAAGATGATGACACTGGTGTTTTCTCATTCTCACAGACTCACACTCTTATATATTCATTTACAGTGCTTGAGATGAATATCACTGAGACTCAACTGTGTGGCAATGTGGAAGTCAAGACGGTCAGACTTCCTCCAGCCGAAGTAAGATATGATATATGAACCAATTTAGTGCCACTGTCAAGCATTAAACCTTTGCCACAATTCATGCCCTATGCTTTAGTCACTTATCTACCTTTTATTAACGTGATTGTGCTGAATGTGTAGGAGAAGGAGCTTTTTTTTTACATTGTTTGTAGCTGTTTGGATCAATAGCTTGTCAATGCTTTTGTAGATGACATTACAACAATCTGATACTGAAATTCAATTATTTCGAATTAATTCATTCTTTATATTCATTACAAATCTATTATAAACATAAATGTAATGTAAATGTTTTATTATACACTTATGTACATAAATATCAGATGAAGTGAGTCATACTTTTTTTACTTTAATGTTTGGTATGTCAAATTTTACAGCAATTACATTAGGATGTCTCTCTTCTATAGTACAGTATATTTTCTGGAAACACTAATGTTCTGCCCTCTTCAACTAAAGCCAAATACTTGTCTTTGAATCAAGGAATGTTTGTGTGAACAAACAACTGAAACCTTTTAAATATGCCAAGTGTTCTAATAATTAGGCCACAACTGTATATTTATTAACAAACATGCATAAATCTTATGTCTGTTATAAAAAAAAAATGGACTCATCGAATTATACAGGGATAACAATATATTTAAATATGACTATAAAAATATTCAAAAATTTGAATTTAAAAATACATTTAAAACAACATAATATATTTAATTTATTTTTTAATATAAATGTAATGTAAATCTTATTTAAATGATTTAATTTAAATTTTATTTACAAATTTACAAACGCAGTGGCACAGTGGGTAGTGCTGTCACCACACAGCAAGAAGGTCACTGGTTCAAGCCTCTGTTGAGTCAGTAGGCATTTCTGTGTGGAGTTTGCGTGTTCTCCAGGTGTTCATGTGGGTTTCCCCCACAGTCCAAACAGGGGAAGGAAAATGAAGGAATGAATGTCTTAAGTATATTCAAAACAAATATATACATTTTTAAACAAGACGTTTCTACACATGCAGTATATATACTATAAACATACTACATACTATAAATCACACATTTGCATAAAAGCAATTAGTAGGTTAAAATTTTTATTTAACGTGGCTGTTTTAATATTGCATTATTGAAAGAATAATTTACAGAAATAAAACCAGTTATACAAAGTAATACAGTTTTTATGGATTGCATTATTTTTAGCTTTTATATTTGAGATACTCTTCTGTTTTCTGCCAGATCCAGGATTTTGATTTTCCTGCTCCTGTGGTGATAAACTTCCTCCACACTAAAGAAGCTGTGCTGCATACAGTCATGCCAAATAGCTGGTGCCACATTCTGCCTAGGTTTGTGTGTATGTGTGTGCATGTGCAGTTAGAATACTTTATATGGTGCAGTTACTTTCTAAAGCTTTACTGCTGGGCGTCATGAGGGAGAAAATCCTTGTCATAATCTCCTTTGTTCTCAGTGTTAGTGATTCAGAAATAAATCGATACTTTTACTCCTTTGTTTTGTATGTATGTGTGAACAGTATGAAGAAAGGCCAAATCATCAGCATCAGTCGTAGGATTCCAGAGGAAAGCCCGTTCCAATCTTACCTAGACATTCAGAAGCACTGGAGCAATATGGTAAACACTAACATCAAACAATTTAGACACATATTCCTATTGAAGTATTCAGTGATGCTCTTGGTTCAGTATGTACAGTTGAAGTCAGAATTATTAGCCCCCCTGTTTATTTTTTCCACAAGTTCTGTTTAACGGAGAGAAGTTTTTTTTCAACAAATTTCTAAACATAATAGTTTTAATAACTCATCTCCAATGACTGATTTATTTTATTTTTGCCATATTGACAGTAAATAATATTTGACAAGATATTTTTCAAGACACTTTTATACAGCTTAAAATGACATTTAAAGGCTTAACTAGATTAATTCGGCTGGTTAGGGCAATTAGGCGAGTTATTGTATAACAATGGTTTCTATTGGGGAAAAAATAGCTTAAAGGGGCAAATAATTTTGTCCCTAATTTTCTTTTCTTTTCTTTTTTTATTGAAAACATTGAAAAAATATTATCAGACATACTGTGAAAATTTCCCCGCTCTGGTAAACATCATTTGGGAAATATTTAAACAAGAAAAAAAATTCAAAGGGGGGCTAATAATTCTGACTTCAACTATGTTAGAAACCAAATGATTCTTTGTGGTTATTTGTAAAATAAATATAAAATAAAGAGCCCAAAGTATGTGAAATATTGGACCCTATTAAACACTTGGCACAATAAGTGAAGCAAGTATTTTTGCTGGCCTGGCACAGGTATAATTTTTGGCAATATGTTTAAATCACAAATGCATTTGCAGCCATTTGTGTGCCGGTCTAAAAAGTAGATGTGTTTAAGGGATTGTTCACCAAAAAAATGAGTTTTTTCATTCTAATAAACTTAAAAGAAGATTAGTTGATAGTTTGATGAAAGCTGAAGCATTGACTTCAAAAATATTTGATTTTCCTACTATGGTTACAGGTTTTCAACTTTCTTCAAAATATCTTATTTTTGTGTTTAACTGAAGAAAAATTTTTTATAAAAGTTTGGAAACACTCGAGGCCGAGTAAATAATGAGTCAATTTTAATGACATTTTTGGGTGAACTATTCTGCGTTGGTGTATTGTGGGTGGCCTGGTGCAAGGCTATATTGAGAGATATACCAAAACATTTTCAGTTTCAAATTCAGTGCTTTCAATCTGACATAATATTATATTATGGAAACATAGAATTATAGAGTTATCTTAGAACAAATAAGCTTTTCATACATGCTTAATATGCAAGAAAAAAACTCAATGGTTCTCATAAATGCTGTAAACGAATAATGATTTGATCCTTTTTTGTACTTTTTGAAACATCATTTTCTGGGTGAACAGACATAAAAAGGAAGGGAAAGATTATCTTAGCTTTAATGAAACTCCCTTGATTTGTTTTATGATGATTCTGGAAAACGAATTAATTTGGGGGTAGCGTTGTCACCCCACAGCAAGAAGGTCGCTGGTTCAAAGCCTTGACTGGGTCAGGTGGCATTTCTCCCCATGTTGGTGTGGGTTTCCTCCTAAGTCCAAACACATGCGGTATAGGTGAATTGGGTAAGCTACAGTAAATTGTCCGTAGTGTATGTGTGTGGATGTTTCCCAGTACTGGGTTGCAGCTGGAAGGGCATCCACTATGTAAAACTGGAAATATATATTGGAAAAGTTTAACGGTTCATTCCGCTGTGGCGACCCCTGATGAATAAAGGGACAAAAAGAAAATGAATGAATCAATAATTAATTTGAAGCAACATAAAAGTGAGAAAATGATAACTGAATTTTGTCAGTATTATGACTAATGTCAGTATAACAATGCGGTTAAGTGACATATTCTCTGGTTAACCACCAAATACATCATAATACATAAACAAGTCATTTAAAATAATCTTTCGCTGTGTTAGTACATTAAAGAAAACAGTTTGCAGATGGTTTCAGTACTGTATGTTTTTTATAATTATTCACAGGTCTGTGCATCTTGGCAGTAAAATGTATTTTTGTTTATGCTATAGATTATTGTGACGGAAAGTCCTGCTCTCTCCTGACACTCTGTTGGTGCGTGTGTGCTTGTAGATATAGTCATATTTGCATGTACATGTGTTTGAGCACTCTGATCCACTTCTGTTTGGATAAGAGTTCACAGTGTAACCTTTGATCACAAACAGAATCGGTCAAAAGGCTTGGCTTTATAAAACACAATCTGTATGTGCGAGCATGCACGATGTTTTATTTTTATTGTATAGACAGCATCTGTTCAAACCAAACCTAAATGGAAATCTGATATATAGCCTTATATCAAAATATATGCACTGTTTTGACATATATGTTTACACGTATTACATATATTTTATATGTGTAAAATCCAAACATAAACTTGTATATCATATACTTGTATGCACTTTTCATATATCGGATTTCTATGATGGATTTCACTTCAAATATTTAATTTTAAAGAATCCATTTGTCTACAAATATACACTATAACACAGACTAACATGAAAAAAAGTCCACTGTCACCTGAAGTCATTAATTGCCTTAATGTTCTTGTCTTTCTGTGATTGATTAATGCCAGTTTCTTTCTCTTGGTTTAGTATGGATATCAGCTACCCTCAGTAGGTGAAGAGGACGTGATTTACTGCAGTGTGTACTTTAAACCAATAGGTGACAAGCTCTTCACGTATCCTTCAGTAAAGGCAGGTGATCAGTTACCTGTGAGTAAGGAATCCATCCACTCAATCATCCAATACAAACACACTAGGTTTATACCAAAAACACCAATGCTGTAATATGCTTAAACCGATATGTGCTGTTTTTAGATTTACAGCTATCATTATTAAAGGCTAGGAAAAAAAATAGTTTATCAGACATAAAATTTAGTGCCAGATTACAAATCTAGGTTTGTATTTGACTGATATTCATACAACATAAGAATGACACCTAGTGGACATGAGGCAGACAGGTACATCAGCTGCTGAAAATGATTAATGAGTGTGTTTGAGGCTGTTCTGACTGTTCAACTAGCATTCTGTTCACTACACACTGGGCTGTATAAACTAAACCTGCATGTACATTGCCCGTTAAAAATTTGGGGTCAGTAGGATTATTAAATGTTTTAAAATAAGCTTCACCTACTTACCAAGGCTGCATTTATTTAATCAAAAAATACTGTACAAATTGTACATTTGTGAAATGTTATTGTACTATAAAATAACTGTTCAAAAGTAGATTATAATTTCATTTAGTAATTTATTCTAGTGATTCAAACAATGAATTTTCCGCTTCATTACTCCAGTCTTCAAAGTCACATGATCCTTTAGAAGTCAATCTAATATTATTTTTAATAATAATAATAATAATAATATTATTATTATTATTAACAGTAATAATAATAATTAGTAGTTTTTAAAGAATTTTAAAACATTATCTGTGTGGTATTTTGTGCTGAAACTTCACACACACACTTCAGAAACATCAGAGACTTATTTTACATCTTGAACAAAGGTGCATTATAGGCCCTCTTTAAACTCTGTTGAAAATATATCTTCTTTATTTTAAAAACAAAAAAATAAATCCAAACTTTGTCGACATTAAAAACAACCCTGCATATTATATACAGTATACATACTCTATAATCAGAAAATAAAAGTAAAAGCTTCCATTGTGTTTCTTCCCAGTATGCAGATTCAACTCTTTTACCAAACGTAACCTCTGTTTTAACATTTGACTTAGTTCTGTGATGGATTAAATGAATACCCTTACACCACACACTGCAGGAGCAACTATAAACATTCATTCATTCATTTTCTTTTCAGCTTAGTCCCATTTTCAATCAGGGGTCACCACAGCGGAATGAACTGCCAACTTTACTCATATTTATTGTCATGTTTATTTTCGTGTTGTCACTTGTCACTTTATGTAAATTGTAAGCTTCTGTGGTCAAAACAAATTCCTTGTGTGTGTAAAGCACACTTGGCAATAAAACCGATTCTGATTCTTATTCAGCATGTTTTACGCAGCGGATGCCCTTTCCAGCTGCAACCCAACACTGGGAAACACCCACACACTCTATCATTTACACACATACACTACGGCCAATTTAGCTTATTCAATTCACCTGAACCACTTGTCTTTGGACTGTGGGGGAAACCGGAGCAGCCGGAGGAAACTCATGCCATCACAGGGAGAACATGCATCTATAAACACTACATTATTATTATTATTATTTTTTAAAATAGTGGCATGTTTGCCACATTGTAGCTTTATAACCACTTATTTTGGAAACTAATTTTTATTTTCTTGGCAGTGTCCTTGACTTCTTGTTCAGATATCCACTGTCCTGTATTCGCACTCAGCCAATACAGTGTTTTCCTAGAGTCGACCTGCAGGGGGTGCTGAGAACCTTTATATCAGATCTGCAGGCTGAACTGAAGAGCGTGTGTGGTTTTCCAGTGCAGATGACCTGTAAGCCTTGCTTTTACAACAGTGAACTGAACAGACCAGTTGCTCAGGTACTACACACACACACACACACACACACACGTGTGCATGGACACAAACATTCTGTCGCTCTGAGACTGGGTTTACTGTTCTGCTGACAACAATAAAGAAAGCATCAATTGGGTTTGACATCAAGTGCTGCATTCTGCTGCTTAGTATTACTGCTGACATTGTATAATGCATTATGACTATGCTCATCTGCAACACATATGCAACTGGTTGTGTTTCTTTATGGATGATACAAAGCTGCTGAGGTACATGTGTTGTACAGATTTTACATACAAAATAAGTGGATTATGCAGACAGCAGAAATCCCTTCTTAAATGAAATTAGAAACATGGTTTGTGATTCTTTAGGGAAGCCACATAGTGTTGTGTCATTATTATTTTTAGGTTATTTTGCTAATTTTCGTAGCTTTGTCATCATATTTCAAATAATTTAATTTAAGCATTTATTGCTGTCAGATTATTAAAACAGCATGTCCCTGCTACAATTTTGGATTTATTTTTACATTTTAATAATCAGTTAAAAATATCCTTATTAAAATCTTATTTAATATAGCTGCTTCTAAGGCTGATTTTAATGCATTTGTCACATCAGTTAAAATGCTCATTCACTTTTAGAATATATAACGGAGCAATTTCATTTTGAGTTAAAACAAAAATCCACAGCAACACATTTGGAGTTCATTAAGTTTAGTGTTTTGTTATGGTGAATAAATCAATCTAATGAATTGTGTTCCTTGTTGCAGACAGATAATATGCTCATTAGTTATTTCACGTAAAAGCAATTCCATATTATATAAATATAAATGAACATTTTAAAGTATGTATCGAGCTCCACTTCTGTAATGTCATAAGATCATGAACAATGTCCATTATATATCTACTAGTGCTGGACAAAAAATTATCGTATTTAATTGCGTCCAAAGTAAAAGTTTGTTTTAACATAGTTTGTGTGTGTGTGTGTGTGTGTGTGTGTGTGTGTTTGTGTGACCTATCAGAACACAAATCTGTATAATGACATGGGTATGACACAGGTATTACAAAAAGGAGGTGAAATATGAGGACATTGGTGACGTCCTCATTTCTCAAAATGCTTATAAATCCTACAGAATGAGTTTATCAGAGAGTAGAGCTGCACACAGTCTCCTGTGATGATTGGGTTTAGGGGTAGGGTGGGGTGAGGGCAATACAATATACGCTTTGAACATACGCACAAAAACAAACGTGTGTGTGATGTTTGAATAAATACACACATGCATGCATATACTTGAGAAAATGTTTATTTGTATTTACATTAAAAATGTATAAGTGTATGATACAAATTATACATCAATTTAATTATCTATGCTAAAAAAAGATTGTACAGTTTTAGTTTTATGTTTGTTTTGAATTTACCTAATAAATATACATAACACACGTTATGTCAAACTTATTTTGGATGTAATTAATTGCACTTAATATTAAATATCTACATATTATATATTTAGAAACTTGTTTTTTTTCATTTTGTTTTATATTATTTTTACATTTTTACATCTTCACTTCAAACTAATCAAATTATTCACGAGACTAATAAGAAATTCTAGAAAAAATTCAAATAAGAAGTGAATTAAAAATGTTGAATGATTGTTGATCAGTTACACACTGATGGTAAGCATGTTCCCTTTTACACTCATATGATTTGATCAAAAATGTTGATGTTAATTGAAGTCCTTGGATATGTTATACATCAACTGCCCGCATAGGTGATCAAATAAGACAGCATTTCAAAACACTTTACGGCACATGCAATGCTTATTAATGAGAGCAGCTTTCAAGAAAACCAGAACCGTCCACTCCAGTGCTAAATTCTGTTTTCTAAAAAACAAAAACATGGCCTGAAGGATGATGCATAGTAATGTGTCATTTCCTGGTCACAAGTTTTTCTTGTTTTCACCCTCATTATCTGTGAAAAACTGCCCCAAGCGCTAAAAGAAAATGTGGAATTTACATTTAGTCATTTAGCAGATGTTTTTGTCCAAAGCCACTCACAATGAGGAGGCATTCAGCGATTCAACAAGAAGAGGCAATACAGGAAGAAACTGTTAGTGCTCAGAGACTTGGGTGTACTCACACTAGGCATAATTGTCTTGAACTGTGCCCAGGCATGATTATCTCCTCTCCCCCTCGGCTGGCACTCACACTGTGTTTTACCTTCCGAGCTAGAGCACAATTATGTCATCGATTATGGGACTGTTCAATTTACCAGAAGAAAAGGGCTTTCGCTCTGTAAAATGGAGATTACTTTAGTTGTATTGTTTTGTATTATTTTAGGTGGTTTGATAGTGACACAGTCAAATCTTTTGCTGAACAGATCCACCCATTTTGATGTTCATAAGTGTCTTTGAAAGTCATTGTTCTGCATGTATTAGAAGGTTTGCTGAATGTGCAGCTGACGTGCAGCAAGGGGTTTGCACCTTTAATAAAACTGTGACAGTTTCGTTCATTGAAAAGTAAGAATAATTAATAAATCCATATGAAACAGTCCCTTAAAAGTGACGTTACGTCTTCAGTTTCACGCTCAGTTGCTCTTAGCACTCACACTACAAGTGTACTGCACTAAAGCTGAGCCCGATTTGGAGCTCTCACACTTTTCAAACGAACCGGGAAATGGGGTTCAAACATGCCTGGGCACGGTTTGGATAGCCTAGTATGAGTACTCCCTTAAATACTAGAGTTGGTGGTGGTGGGGGGGGGGGTTGTTTGAGTTAGAGAGACTAGTGTTTCTACAGGTGGTTTGTCAAGCCCACTCACCTGTGTAAAGCACAATGTTGTTTTTTGTTTTTTTTTGTGATGTTGAGTGATTGTAAGTGTAGTCTGGTGCAAAGGTACAAAATGTGTCCAAGTGTCAGTTAAAGTGTCAGAGAGATGAAACAGTGTGTTTTCTTCAGGTGGTTTGTCAAGCCCACTCACCTGTATGAGGTCGTTGTGTGGTGTGGTGGGTGGGTTCAGGTGATTCTGGTAGAGATGTATTTTTAGTTGTCAATTTGTAAGCAAATATAGTGGTACACTAAAAGAAATCATCTGTTAGCATTTGGCAGCCTATCTGTCTCATGTAATTGTTTATAACATGTTTTTGGCTTTAACAATAGTATCATTAAATAAATTATTTTATAAAACATCTTCATCTTGATATCTTTTTATGCAGAAACATTATTATTTAAAAGGTTGGGACTGTTTATTTCGTACCCACTGCGAAGTTAAATAAAAGACCCCTTGTTTAGCAGATGAATTACAAAATCTTGTATTTTCTCAAAACATAATGAAAATGAAATATAACAAATGCACTGAAAGTGGAGTAAACAGCTTACAAAATATACGAGAAGTGTTTATTTGAACGATGACTAAACTGGTTGTGGTTTTGCCTCCTTAAACAATCCGTCAGTTTGTAGGATAACCGATACTTGCTTTTAATACTTAGAATACAGTATAAATGCAAGCTTCCAGTAAAAGCAAGATCTGATACTCCAGTACATTAGGTCATTTCTTCCTTTTAGTTGTTGTTGGCGCATAAAGGAGAGTCCAACATTCAGCCAGACGGGTTAAAGTTTAATTTAAATTGGCCAGAGCTGAGGGCTGATGTTATTAAACTTTGACAAATGCTGTGAAACGTGATTTGAAACACTATATGTACCGTTCCCTGTGTTAGTACAGATGGAAAGCTGGCGCAGAGGAAGCTTTCATTAATCTCACAGGCTATAATGATTGATAATGGCAACATTAGGCAGCAATGATTAATTCATGTCGGATGTGCAAAAGCATAGCAGTGGCCAGCATCATCAACATGCTTGTTTAGCAAAAAATAATCATTTAACTATGAGGAAACGTACAGATTTTGTTATCAGGAAAGTATTTTTTAATGTCAAAAGCTTACTAATCTAGGTGAAGAAATAGAGATTTGTAAAAATGTGTCAGTTTGCTCAGAGACCAGTTGTATTTTCTGTGCCTACACAGACCTGCATTTGTAGCAGGTCGACATCCAAAGCGACAGGCAGCTACAAAGTTGCTGCTAGTGTAAATGAGGTTTATGACACCGCTCAACTAAAAAAGGTCAATAAAAACTATAACAAGCAAGTCAAATAATTTTTGCCTAGATTATTATTAGAAATATGAACAAATTCTCACCAATATAGATATAATTGGGATATTTTTGTTCTGTGAAAGGGTCAGTCCATGTTGGAGCAATTCTATATTTAATATCTGAAAATGAAATATTAAAATTGATATAAATATCAATGATGAGTTTTGGATTTCATTTGTTCAAAGGAATAAAAAAGAAAATAGAAAAATATGACACATCCCTTGATCAGATTGTCAGAAATACATGTGAACAATCACACTACATTTAATAAATTCAAATGAAATTCATGTTTATTTTGGCTTAAGATGCCAAATCTGTAGTGTCAGTCAGTAGTTATTGTCTCTTTATAATAAAAATAGCTCTCAAATAGCTTTCAAACTTATTCTCCTTGAAGACTATTGCGTACTGGTCTTTTTGAAATTCACTTTGGTGCCCTGATGATGACATTTAGCGAAATTTGGAGTTTATAAAAGAATAATGGAAAGCTTTAAAAGTTTCAGAAACTGTGCTCACTGATAAAGAGAATAACTGCATTTGAAGTGCTTTTTAACTGCAGATCTTTTATACATAAACTGGAAGTGCATTAAGGAAGTTAGGAGTGTAATAGGACCCATTTTATGGTAAATGATCCTTTAAAAGCTTCATTTTAGACCTCTGTGGTTCGTAACAGCACAGAATCAACCATGTGTGCACAATTATACATTTCTCTTTTTACAATCTTCTCTTTCTTTACATTTTTAGTACTCTGCGGGCCTGCCTGTAAACTTGACGACAGAAAACAGCAGCAGGGGTGTACTGAACCCACTTCCCAGCAGCAACCCACGGGACACAACACAACACCACTACAGTCAGTGTGACTCAACTGGAAAACCCACTGAAAAGAGAAAGAGGCTGAATTTGGATTCGTCTCTCCACCAAAAAGACTGGACTTCCTCCAACTTGGCAACCCAATTCTCTTCCTCGCCCACAAATGTTCATTTTACTCCGATTCAGGCACAGTATGTACCTCCGAGACCAAAACTTGTGCCAGTCTTCAATTGCAAACCTGTGAATGCCACTGAGGTCTATTCAGCAAACAGGCTGACAGCAGTTGTAAGGCCTTTGTCATCGATTTCTATATCGTCATCATCTGAGCCCCATTGCTCCACATCACCAGCTCGTGTTAATCAGATCACCAGACCTTCAGTCCCTCAGAGAATGACTTTACCATTTTCCAAGAGCAAGGCAGACACTAGGATTCTCCCACCCCTACCTTTTTCACAGACAATTCCCCAAATCGTGCCTCAGATCCCTAGTAATACAGGGGTAAGTAAACTATGCAAAATATATATATATATATATCTCAGATAAGGCCTATTTACAGTCACATCAAGGAAGATAACTTTAATGATAATTCTAAAGTTTTGGGGCCTAATTTACTAGACAGAGCCAATTAGTGTGACACTGAAATCCCATAAAAGTGTAAAAAAAAAAAAAAAAGTAGGGATTGTAAATTTGTGGATGTTTTTACTAACAATGTTTAAATGAAAGAACACAGACCAAAATGATCTACCACGAGCAGTGCAAATCACCACAAACAAATAAAGGCGATTATCAATTAGGGATAAAATACATCCAGGACTTTGTTATTGCAGAATAAAGCCTGACAGGCATTCAACGTGATGTGGAGCGCTGTTGTGTAAGACTGAAGGACTTTATTCTGAAACAAAAACAACCATCCTGGATGTACTTTACACTCAAAGCATTTTTCTAATTCGTAATAGTTTTTAAATAGTTAATGAAACGCACATCTGACACATATGAAAGCAACTGATGGACTATACACTAACTTGCGTCAAACTGTCAAAAATGCAAAGCTGACAGAAATGAAACTAGCTGGATAAAGCATATTCTAACCTACATATTCATTCAGAAGATGGCACCAAACAGTCAAAAACACAACGTGAGAGACAAGCAGATACATATGAATGTAGGTATATGGATTTTGACATATTCACTGACGGTCAAGGTAATTTTAAAGTTCCTGGATGAGTCTGCTTTATTTAGCGGTTGTTATCTCATAATAGCATACTTAATTTTAGAGTGTAGAATCAAGCTGCTAGTAAAAATGGGGTTTAATAAACATTCACCAATTAAAAGAAGACAACACCACAGCTATAACAATAATAGAAAAGATGAACATTGTTATTGTAATCATTTTCAGAAGGATAAAAACACTGACAATCAGACAGTTGCAAACAAATACACTGCAAATCTTTTCATGCATTGGTGTAGTTATAGTTTACTTTATAGTTTTCATTCACGGTGTGAACAGGGCTTTAGACTAAGAAATAAATGCAATAATAATTTCACCCAAGTAAACATCACTTACATTTTCCTGTTTGAAAAATGTGAGCATTAAGTTTGAATTGCAAATTCATTAAGAATGAATCGCTTTATTTCTCCAGAGACATATTACACTGCCAGAGTTAGCAGGACTCAAATTAATTGATGTAGATTCCTGAAAATTATTGATGAACCTACATAAATGATTAAATCTGGTGGGTAGAGGGAAACGTGTAGTGCTTCTAATGGACCTTCTCATCATATTTCAGGGAGACATGATTCAGTCAAAACCCAAGAGGCTCAAACAAAGCCTGCAGGATGTGGAGGTTCACGCAAGAAACAATCAGGTACTTCATGTATTTATAGTCTCTTCCTTCCAGTTTGTTTTTAAACATTGCTTATGTGCTGTGCATGCACAATAGATGTACTAATCATTAGACCAATATCTTATTCTCTTTATTATTAACTCAGCAAATCTTAAAAAATAATGTTATTGCCATAACAGTATATCCAATATTCATATCACAGAGAAGTGCAATAAGTTTAATAAATTGAATGTGCCAAACATTTGTGTGCTGCATAGGTTGTTTATCCAAATCTGACCAATCAGATGAGGCCTTTAAAGTCTAAATGTTAGATTTTACAATATATTAGATAGATTTTAACAAAATATTAATTAACTTAGAAAAATAATAATTATGTGTTAATTATGTCAGCCTGATATATTGTTAGAAATATTGTTATTGCAGCACTCAACAACAATATCTCATATTGCATAATTTCGTAGTATTGTGCAGTGCATTTGGAAAATAACAGCAGTTCTATTGTGTGAATGCTTTGTTTCACATAACCCATTACAAGCTTGGCATGTGTTCATGATCTTGATTGAATGCCATTAATAAAGAAGATGAGCTCATATATTTTCTTTATGATGGAGGCTACTAACAGGTGCAGCAATATAAAAACCCATATCATATCAATAATTTGTATGATGAGTAATTTTGTATGTTATGGTTTGATGGATACCCTTGGACAGTAGGAACAATAACAAGTTTACAGCACCGAACAGAGGTTTGAGACTCATTTAGTTGTGGGATTTTTAAAAGAAATTAATTTTCTCCCACAAGGATGCATGACATTGAGCTGTAGTGATAGTATAGATGATTATAATGATGCAAAAGGTTTCTATTTTAAATGCTGTTATTTTAAGAATCCTGAAAATAAATTAAAGCAGCACAACTGTATAGCGGGTGGTTCATTCTGCTGTGGCAACCCTTAATAAATAAGCAAATAAGCAAAAGAAAAATAACTGAATGAATGAACAATGATTATTAAATCCTGGCATTTACATACTTAATTATTTAGTATTTAAAATAAGTCTGTTACTTTCAGGTGGCTATAAAAGTAGCTCTTATAAATCAGTTGAACATATTTCTACCAGGTTTAGACCCATCATTTTTGAGTTGTAAAAAAATTGAATTAATGAGGTGTTACCTAGCAACATGCAGGTTTATTTATTTATTTTCTGTTTCCAGCTCTCAAAGATCAACATCTCAACTCTACATGCATGGTTGAAGAGTCGGGGGATCAATGTGCGCTCAAAGGATAAGAAAGAGGAGCTGGTGTCAAGGGTCATGAGGAGTCTGAGTGAAAGTTAGGTGCGTTGGTTTGGGTTACTCACCTTAAAAGAAACCTTGCATACTTGTTCCATAGATAAACTGTTCAGTAAGCTGCCATGAGTTACCTAATGTTCCTGCACAGCTTTTTCTTTTTTCATGCAAGACCTTGTAAGCTAAAATCTCTTGTTTAATTGGATCCAGAGAGGTGCAGATAAAGGGGGAAAAGTATTTCTTTGTATGGTGGTTCTTTGTTCTTAGCTTGATGGCCATTTGTCAACCATCAAACTCACCTATTTAGTGCTCTGGCTTTAATCAAGACCTAGAGGAAAGTATTACCTCTGCCTCAGATGTTTCTCTTTAAATTCTTTAGAAGTTAAATGAGACACAAAAGAGATAATTATTGACATGCAGTAAAAGTATAGAGTTTCATCATTTATGAAGATAACCGTTCGGGAATTTACTGCCAAAAATTGAATGTTTAGATATTATTTTTTAGTTTTATGGCAAATCGCTTCGTGAGCAGAGGTGAACTTTGCAATTTGGAGGCCTGGATCAGAGAACAAGCCGGTTGGGTTTATAAATGTATGTTTTTCACCACGCTACACATATTTTCTATCTTTAACCGCAATTTATTTATTTATTTACTTATTTATTATTTATTAAACAATTGATTCACTGAATCATTCAAACGATTTGTTCAAACTTCTGATTCTTTCAGAAACAAAGCAAGTTAATCAGCACTAGGGTTGGGGATTGTTTGGGTTTTTTTCGATACCGGTGCTATCTATATTGCATGCATAATACATATATTTCATTAATATATATATATATAAATATATATATATATATATATATATATATATATATATATATATATATATATATACATATATATATATATATATATACATGGCCATCAGTAATCTAATGATTTGCCTTAATCTGAATAAGACAATAATATGATGAAGGTGTTTACATGAGTTGCTTTTTGAATGTTCCTTTCATGATCTGTTTTACATGTTATAGCACAGATCTATTGCATCATCACGCTATCCACGTCCTCTCTGAAGTTTCCTTTAATTTCAGGCGTTTCATTTAAAATTTTCTGACTTTATCTTCAGTTCAGCACTTTTCCTTCCATTTACCAAAATATTGTTTGTGCCCCTGCAACAAACTGAGGTACTGGATCAAATTATTATGTAAGGACTGGTGGAAAAGGGTTGGTTTATTGGAATATGATACCACATGCCAAATGGAAAGGAAAAAAAAACTGCATTTCCTGACACGGGTGTCTGTGGTTCTTTAAAGTCATCAAAAAAATGCTGTTTACATGGAAGACTCCTAATCAGAGTATTGTCTTAATCATATTAAAATCTGAGGATTGGTGTCAATGTAAATGTAGTCTGTGCCAGAGAAATGCACTGTTTTTGACATCTTGCGACAGGAACTGGCACATTTCACTGCCTTCAAGTAGATTCTATCAAATGTTTCATTAAGTTTGACGTGTTTCCCTCCTTACATGCAATATTGTAAAGCATCTGCTTCACATTGGTGTGTGAGAATCCTTGCTTGTAAAATATAGCCATACTTCAGAACACTTAATTTAAGCGAATTTGATGGAATGCGATCATGCGTGTTGGTGAAGGGAGTCGCTCAACAGATGCACCGTACTGCACACTTCTGCCTTCTATATCTAACTTTTTTATTTAGATTTTTGGAGTCATGTTTATCAGTTTTGGTGGCATTATTGCCTCAAGTTTTCAATTCTTTCTGTTGTATGTGTTAGCCATGAATTTTAAGCTCTTCTTTGGTTTAAAAGATCACTGCCATTTCTGGGATTGTTGAAATCCTGTCTCAAAAGTGATCTAGAGATTGCTGTTTCCAGGAAAAGAACAAAACCTTTGTTTTGTTGCATGTTTTCTCTGCAATCTTTTCAAAGCCCTAACACAGAATTTCAATTGACAATCATGGATGCCGGCACTGCAGAAAACAGTGATGCAAGGTGACTTTCCTCAACCATAATGACACCGCAGACTCCAGAGAGGAATGAGAGTCAGAGGCTCTTGACTGAGATGGAAATCAGGCCCAGGCACTTTGATGGCTAATGATAGGGGCCAAATCGTGCCACTTTCTCTATTTTAAAAGCGCAAGATCACTCTTGTCTTTTCTGCCCTTTATGCTGAAAGAGCTTAATGACCCAAACACATCTGACTTGAAAGCTTTGCAGTAAGTAGGAGGTCATGCAGAAGCACGTGTGCACTTCTGCAGGGCAAATATTGAAAGAGTGCTGTGTGTTTTGCACATCAAAGATTTGAATGTGAAACAGACTTGCTCTCCTTTACGCCGTGACTAACGGTGACTGTTATTCATTATCATAACAGCTTCTAATATCAGCACATATGGCTTGTTTATTGAGGCAAACAGGGGCTAGTTGATTTATTGACTCGTAGTTTAAGTCTTCAACCTCACGTCACAGACAAAGAAAAATGTTCCTTGAAAACATTTCCCACGCTTTGCAGAATCAGGCCTTTTTTGGGCTGCATCAGCACATGCAGTGACTGATGAATAATACATATGATATATGGTGTTTTTAAAACACAATCTGTGATGGCAGCTAATTCAGTCTGTCATATTTCATGTCAGCAACTACAATGCAGATATTCCTATGCGGTTCTTTTCTGCTTTTATTTTTTGTTCATTTATTGACATCATTGAACTCTAGAACACACTTTTGTTTGGGTGCCAGTCGCCACAAGGCACAGTAAAAATTCCCATCTCCTGCATGCTGGTTCATGCTCTCGTCTCAGAGTACAGGCCTCGGGACTCTTCTGCTGCTCTCATTTAGACTGTTTACCTGAGTTCTGACCTGACAGACTCTACTCATAACTAGATTAATACACTAGAGTCGAGCTGTAATTTATGAGCGTTCACAAGTGAAGCATGAAAGGGCTTTATTAAATCCTGGAGTGAATCAGCAGTGGCATTTTGGACATTTGGATTTCTTCTATAAAAAGGAGTTAGCCTGTCAGATCAAAACAATCAGAAAGTATGTGAGGGGATTTAATTGCATTCACTTTTATATTTCCTAATATTGCCGGTTGACTATAATGTGTGATATAGTGCAGAATATTGCGATCTGGCACTGTCTGTTTTACATCCTTTTGTGGCTGTTCACTCACTTTCGACCACCATAGGTTTAAAAAAAAGTTCGCTGACTGAATGTGGTGATTGAATGCATATTTCGGGTTACATAGATAGAGAGTAGAAGATTAAATGCTGATGTAAATCAGCATTGACATTTTGGACACTTGGATTTCTTTTATAAAAAGGAGTTTGTCTGTCAGATCAAAACAATCAGGAAGTACAGTATGTGAGGCGATTGCATTCCCTCTTATATTTCTAAATATTGTATGTTGATTATAATGCGTGAAATAGTGCAGATTGTTGCGATCTGGCATTTTCTGGATTAGATCCATAGATGCAGAGTAGATGGTCTTTTGTGGCTGTTCACTCAAATTCTTCAACATATGCTAAGAAAGTAAAATGATTGATTGCATATTCTGTTACATCCATCGATGCAGAGTAGATAGTCTATTGTGGATGTTTTGTCATATTCTGTAACATATGTTATGAAAGTAAGCTGATTGAATGTGTATGACTATTCCTAGAAGTGGTCATAAGTGGACAAACTTAAAATATTGTACTGCTATATTGTAATGTTGACGAAAATACATCTTATTATGGTTGTTAGATTGTACACAGCGTTGCCACCAATGTTCTATTTAAAATAATTTTAAATCCAGCAGAGGTAAACTGAGTATATGTCATTACCTAATGACAAATACTCTCAGTCTTCCAGTAAGGTTAATAGAATGTTTGTTTAAAGTCATATGTAGTTATAGTAGTTATATGTAGTTTAATAAAGTTCCCAACATGTAACACAAACGATATATTTATGGAAAGTTTTTAGTTGGAAGTTGGTCTAACCTTTCTAACCTTAGTTATTTGGAAGTTGGTCTAACCATTTTTATAACGTTTTAGTTTTAGAAGATTTAGAGAAGATTACAAAAATAATATTTACATAATGTTTGCAAAATAATAAAACTGAATATCCCTTTATTAGTTTGGTCCAACATAAAAGAAAAATCTAAAACACAGAAAAAGGACCAACATATACATGAAAACATATATTTCCAACATTTCAGAAATCATATATCCATACATCCATGTGAGTCAATAAAAGTCTCAAAGTCAGTTTAATCAGTTTTAAGATTATCAATGTTTAATTGTAATCATTTTAAAATACCAGAAATATATTCACAAATGCATGCAAATCAATCTCAACTGGGTTCTCAGCCTAACAAAAAGTAAGAAAATGTACAAATATGAAAAGGCGGCAACACCAAATGCTCTAAAAGTATCAGATTTATTTACTTAAAAATATGCTGTGATTAGCCATTTTAAGTAAATAAATCTGATATTATTGGAGCTTTTTATGTTGCTGTCTTTTCATTTTTTTAAATGTCATATTTGGCCATGGAAGAAACAGGAATCACAGTCATGGTCAGATGTCATGATTAAACTTTAAAAGGCTGTAACTGAAGATAATCATTGTGAATGCTCCATATGGAGTCACAGTGCAGCATTGTTGCTCATTCTACTGGCTCTCTCATGTATTTCTTATAATTTATTTGCAATATAAAGTTAATATGTTGATGAACGTACAAAAGTGCATATTTAGCTCATCTATCTTTTCATAAGAGCATTAAAGTAGTCTTTTTTTGAAATGAAAAGTAGCCAGATTAAGTCTTTTTGTGAATGGTAGCCGGATTGAAACACACCTTTTACCAATGTTTTTATTTATTATACACTGTTTTTTTTTTAAAGACTGATGATGAACAAGAATGAAAAAGAAATTCACTATTTGTTTTACTTTTATTCTATTCAGGATTCATGTGCACCCATTGACAGGTAAAATCTACTGCTGACATTTTGTACAGTATTGCCAAAGCATGTTAGATATGTATGAAATATATAATATATCAACATCATTGAATAAAAAAAGTATACAGCAAATTAGAAATAAATGACACAAAGGAATAAAAACATCCATGGAATAAAAATCTCAAAAAATTGAATAATCACATGAATAAAAAGTCTAGATTATTTAAATAAGGCAAATTAGTTAATTAACAATTTCTAACGGTGAACATATGTTTTGCAGCCAGTTTAGATGTCATTTCATCCGCTCTTGCGGCTGTGCATGCACTGTCAGCTGCGAAGCCAAGCGAAAGTAATTCAGGCTTAAAATAAAAATGATGGCGGCGTAGAAATCGATATCAAAAGTCGAATCACTGACATATTGGAGATTTAGAAACCCCGGATATACACATTTTTAAGTCCCAAAAAGGTGCGTCTCTGTGGGTCTCTGCAGGGCACGTGAAAATGTCTGTGACAGTTCTTGCGCACACACAATGAGAAGTAGAAAACATATAGGGAAAGTGGAGATTTTCCACTGGTTAATGGTGTACACCATTGTTTTTCAACCATGTTCCTGGAGGACCACCAGCTCTGCACATTTTCCATGTGT